GCGTGTGTGTGCGTGTGTGTGTGCGTGTGTGTGTGTGTGCGTGTGTGTGCGTGTGCGTGTGTGTGTGTGTGTGTGTGGGTGGAGACAGACCCCTACAAAGCTAATCCTTCTCAAATGTAGTTCATCACGTCGATAAGCAGAACACGTTTTTTCTCAGTTTTTCTCAAAATGTGTTAATTATTCTTTTCTTAGCTGAGGAGATTTTTCACAGTTTTTTCTGTGTTTGTTTTACGATTATCCTAAAAAGATAACAATAGAAACAATAACTGTTTGTTTTTACATCAACATGTTTACAGTGTTTTCTAGAGCATGTACATTAAAACACAATGATGGCCTTTCTGCACATTGTAGAACTCCATGTGATGGTTCAGTGACTGTGTCTGTGTGGTGTGTCACATATGGTGTGTTTGGCCTACATGCAGACAGGGTGATAATAATAATAATTGATAAGCTGTTGCTCAGACACCGGAGGGGGGGGGGAGCAGATATTATACTAACTGTAGAGAGAGAGGATGCTGCACACAGAGAGATTTATAGTATACAGATACTGGGAGTACACACAGTACACACAGTACATGTTCAGGGTTGTTGCACACCATGAACACACTCTTTTATTCTCCCTATTACCTTAGAGAAATGTGTGTCTCTCATACGTGAGATGTGTGCAGAGAAGCCAGAGGAGGACACTGTCCTGCATGCACACAGTGATAAAGGAATTTGAACCTCCTGCATGTCATCACTTTTGGATGTGTTTGCAATGGTGACAAATTTAAAAAAAACTGCACATTTTAGCACATAACGTGTAACTCTGCCGGGATATCTCAACCCTTATCACCATCACATTTATATCAGATTAGATATCACAAAGGAAGGAACACAATGTCCTTTATTGGAGATTTTAAACGCTGCTCCACGAGATATTCACTGGGGGAATCGCAAACAACTTGGTTTTTAAATTAGAGTGAATCTTTCGCACAAGTCCATTTTGTATTTGTGCTCGAAAGCTGCCTCTATGGTGATCAGAGAAAACACTGAGGTGTTTAAGCTCAATACATATATTGTAAAATGAAATAGTAGAAAGATATAGTATGAGTACTGTGGCGCTGATCTTGTTTTCAAGATGCTTCCTGTGTCCTCAAAGCATTCCTGGTTTGTTTTGAGTTTTAGTCCTTTCCCTTTTGTTGATCCTGCTCGTTCAAGGGTTTGTTTGGAACAGCTTTTATTTAATAAAGCCCTTTCTTTACACCTTTATACCCCAGTCTTTTTACTCCGCACCTGGGTCCTGGTTACCTCCTTCTCCTGACAGTTACATTCAATGCTGCTGAAAATATAATAGTGTAGTATGTAGGAGGTGAAAATGTTGAAAAAAGTCACATAAAATGAGTTAGGGATGTCCCGATCACCTTTTTTTGCTCCGGATCCGATTCCGATCATTTGATTTTGACAATTTGCCGATACCGATTTTTCCCGATCCGATCTTTATGCAATGCATTAAGAGGAAAAAAAGAAAAAAAGCATTCAAGTTGTCCCTTAAGGTTATTTTTTTATTTAAATTGGATATTCTATCCAACATGGATATAGCTTCTTTCTTTCACAGCAGCATTGGATCAGTTCAGTTGTGCAGCATTGGATCAAAACTAAATAAAGCTTATCAGTACTCGTTAGCTTACTGCTACAATTAGACACTGCGCCCACTCTGTTGCCAGATTTGAGAGAAATAAGCAGGTCTATGAAAACAAGCCCCAAAGAAGCAACACATACATGATGTTCTGTCATTTGAAACCAAAACTAAGGCCTCAGGATGACTTTAAGACTTGAACATGGTCATTTTTGTTTTGTAACATTGAATACAAAATAAAACATAATTAAAAAAAAAAAAAATCCCGATCCCCGATTTTTTTCCTCCCGATTCCGATATTTTGAAAATCACGTGATCGGCTCCGATCCCCGATCACGTGATCGGATCGGGAAATCTCTAAAATGAGTGAAATGTCATACTATAATATGTCAGGAAATATCATACAAATAATGGCTTTTTTCATGTCAAACTATTTTACGTCACCAAAATACAAAGAATTGTGATGGTATAGTAATACAGTAGAATAGTAGACAATACTCCTTTCTGCCAGCAATTTATTTTAATAAATAACACCAACGTGTCGTTCAGAAATATCGAATATAAGAACTCTGAACAAAAGTTATTATTTAAAAACACTGCCTGTTGATTATGTTTTAATTAATCTATTGAGTTTAAACTGGATGAAACGTGTCAGGGGAACCTCTGTGTTTTACATATTGGAAGTTATTATTGAACCAATTACACAGCTGAAGGCTTTCCACAGGTTTAAAATCACTGACCTTGGTAAATATTAAAAGTTTCTGGATCTCCCAAGATATTTCTAATCCTCAGTAACCCCCAAAATATCATTAACTACAAAAAAAATACACCGGACAGAAAAGTTAGAAAAAGGGCAATTTTATTTAAAGCACTTACATATAAAAATATGATCGATTTGAGTCACCAATAATAAATAGAGTGCCTGACGTTCCTCAGGCCTGTTGGTACAATCAGTACAATCAATATAATCAATATCCAGTTTCACAATACAGCAAAGGCACTAGCATCAACCACAATCAACAACAAGTCAATGAGGGGGGTCACACACACCTTCACTCCCGCCTTCTTCTGTGGAAATGATACCAGATGTAACCCTTCTCCACTTGCCTTTTGTCCAAATGCTCGTGGAAAACAACAAAAGAACCAGACAATGTGATGGAAATAAAAAGAAAACATCAATTTGAGCTAAAAAAGTCAAGTTAAGGACCTTAGAACATTTGGATTGAATATGCACTGACATGTTGAAATGTTTTAAATGAAGTGAAGCATCAAACTTCTATATCTTGCAGTTCAAAAAGGTGCATTCGAGGACCCTATGGGATCATCCTCTGGAGAGCTTGATTAAAAACTGAAAAGAGGCCCCACAGATTTAACTACTTGAGAAAAAAAAGTTAATTGAAGGACCTTATAACGGTTGGATATCCCCTGGGGAGCCTGAACATACTCTGAAATGTTTAAATACGGACAATAACTTCAAAGTAAATGGAAGTGAGAATTGAGGGCCCACATTTTCATTTATTTGAGCTAAAAAAGTCAAGTTTAGGACCTTAAAACATTCGGAACATCCTCTGGGGAGCTTGAATTTGCACTGGAATGTTTAAATGGTTCCATTAATTACAATATGAATAGAAGTGAGGCCTCACACTTCTATTTATTTGAGTTAAAAAGGTACATTTGAGGACCCTAAACATGTGGGATCATCCTCTGGGGAGCTTGACGAAACACAGCAATGTTTAAATGCGGCCAATAACTTAAATATACATGACATTTAGAAGAGAGGCCCCACATATTTAACTATTTAAGCTAAAAAAGTAAAGTTAAGAACATTTGGGTTATCCTCTGGGGAGAATGAATATGCAATATCTTCAAGACAAGTGGAAGAGAGTAGAGAAGCCCTACATGTTGATTTCTTTGAGCTTAAGAAATTAATTTGAGGATGAAGGGAAGGACCTTAAAACATTCGGATCATCCTCTGAGGAGTCTGATTATACACTGAACTGTTTGAACATTGCCAATTACTTCAATATTAGTTGAAGTGAAAAGAGAGGTCTTACATTTTAATCTAGTTGAACCGACAAAGTAAAGTTAAAGAACTTAAAATATTCTAATTATCCTCTGGGGAGATTGAATATACATTGAAATGTTTAAATATCAATAATGACCTTTATATATGTATAGTAGTTTTTCAGGGGCCAATGTTTTGGTTAATCAAGTTTTAATCTCACAGCAGCTCTAGACAAAAGGGAGATGAACCAAAATGATCAAATCAATGGTAGCTCAGATGATAATGTTCAGATAACTCCACAAAAAGGTTACAAATAAATACATTACTTTCAAAACTATGAAATTATGAGGATTAAAGTCCAACTGAAATGAGATGTTTGTTTTCTTTCAACTCCTTTGTTTTCTAATCAACACTAAAAGTAATTATATAAATTCAAAGATGTATTTAAATACAGTTTTCAGCGTTTTTTTACCCAATATCTTTGGTTTTTTGACTGACAAAACAAGACATTTAAAGCTTGGTATTCGGGAAACTGGGATGAACGTTTTCCACCTGATTCTGAAATGTTAGAAATCAAACTATTTATGGAGGATATAATCTGCAGATGAATCCATTAAAGAAATAACGTAGATTATAACGTTGTTCCAATTAACCAATTACTGTCACCAAACTATTCATAGAAAAAGTTGAATAGGATTTTGCATTTAATCTGCAGCTATCGTTAGCTTCCTTTCTAAGTCTTGTTGTGTGTGTTATTATATATCAGAGTATTATAGTAGGTATATCATCATAATTATAAAATGGTTATAGTTGTTTATCCTTGGCTTGTAATCTACTGATATACACATCTTGAATAATTGGCATTTTTATACTAGTTTGGAGGCTAAATAAGCATTTTTGTAAATAAAAACTACTTTTGATTATCTGAGAGTTTGCCATTTCAGTTGGACTTGGACAAAATAAAATAATATCAGTAGCTGGCGCACATTTATCCAGTGATTCAGACACATTAAAGCTGCAACATAATAAAGTTGAATAAAGCTTCTGCTCCTTATCCGGGTGTGATTCAGAGCTAATAGCGCTGGTCCCAAACAGTAATGATATACATCGTTTAATCTTTAATAGATATTTACTGCTTTCAGACGGAGGGATGATTCATGGAGAAAAAAAACATGAACAATCACTTTCTTTTTATGTGAGGACATGTGGTGCAACTCTTTACATGCAAGCAAAGCGAGGAGGACGTTGACAACAATCAGCAGTAAAACACACACACACACACACACACACACACACACACACACACACACACACACACACACACACACACACACACACACACACACACACACACACACACACACACACACACACACACACACACACACACACACACACACACACACACACACACACACACACACACACACACACACACACACACACTCTCATCCCTGAAGCTCACAGAGATTATTCACCCGGGACAAAAATGAATTTTCTTTCAAAAAAGGAGGTCAGAAATGATAAACGAAGGAAAAACAAAAACGTTTGAAACGTCGTAATCAAAACATTGTTAATGCCAATGTTTGTAATCATTGGTTTTGATTTATACTGGAGAAAGAAAAGAAATATTAAATATGTCAGTAAATACCATGGAGAGTGATAAGGCTTATCTCCACTTCGACTGGCCCTTAGAAACGTCGTCTTCTCCCTTAAATCTTCCCGTCATTCGGACAGAAAAAGCCCTGATTGTCAGAACAAGTTGTACCAATTATTCCCGCGTTAAAGCTAGTCCGTCTTCTTCTTCTCAGTCCTTTAGTGAACACAAATCCTTCCCGTTATCTCTTCGACTGGAGAATTAATGCACAGGAGCCCGAGATTGTCCACAAAGGGCCGTAAAGCTTTACCGTCTTTTTAACCGTCTTTGTTAGCGTCCCTGCGGCTAACGGTTCCGTGGCGGCGCAGCGTTAGCACGTGTCCGACGGACTCGTGTTTCTTGACGTCTTTTCTCCGACTCTCTAGATGTTTCTCTGAGCCGTGAGGTACTTCAGCGCCGCCGAGCCATATTTCCTGGACAGATCCTGGTGAAACTCTTCCTTCAGCGTGTTCAGGCAGTTGCGGTAACTCGAGCTGGAGCGAAACTTTGAGATGTCGAAGCTCGGAGCGTGCGGCATGTGGATCATGAAGGCGTTCGGCAGCACCATCAGTTCGTACTCCTGAGAAAACAGAAGGGAATTATGAAACATGGGTTAAGATTGTCTAAGCAAACTAAAGAATTGATCACGGCCTGGAAGACATGTTTGTTATTTATTACACAGCTTAGTTAAATACTCAATGCTGATTGGTCAATTTTGAACATTCTGTAGAAGAAGAAAGACAGGAAGTAAACACGAAAGAGAACAGCAGAAGAAGACAGAAAACACATTCAAACCAACCAACCAAGTTATTCCAGAACACTTGTTGTTATGGACCATGCTTTAAAATAGAGCTAATAGAGTTGGTCCCAATCAGCGAGTATATTTTTACCATTATTGGATTTTTTCCAAAAAGAAAAATGGACTTATTTTCGTACCTGTGCGTCCAGCTCCAGTACGTGTGACACCTTGTTCCAGCCGAAGCCCACGAAGCGCTGGTCGTATTCGGGACAGTCCTTCCTCACCACCACGTACGGCTCGAAGTCCGCCTCCCACTCCACTCGGTACGGCGTGGTGGCCGTCCGCCATTTGGCGTAATCTGTCGGAGCGTGACCTTTGGGCCACACGTGATACCTGGAGCGGAAGGAAATCAGTTATTCAACTTTACCTCTGCGGCATCATAGACACTATGCATTACATTAATGCACACAAAATGTACAACAATATCTGTTTTCTTTTTTTTATTACTGCTGATTTTTATTCCATATTTGATTCCATTCCATTTCTATGTAAATACTGTTATATTTTTGGTTTATTTTTTATATCTTTCTAGTTCTTTATCTGTGTTTTACATTTTTGTTTTACTTTTATGCATGCACCAAGAGATCAAGTAAAATTCCTCGTATGTGTCAACCTACCTGGTAATAAACCTGATTCTGAAACCACTTTTAGTTTCTCTCTGCTGATTTGATGCTGATTTGATCGTGTTTTTAGTACCTGAAGGTGTAGAGAGTCCCCATGTCCAGCATGGAGAGCAGCTCAGCTTTGGATTTGGGGAAAGAGAGACGGTACCGGAGCGTCTCGAAGGCCGGGACCACCAGAGCCTTCTTAGTGTGAGCCATGTCCATCTGTACCACCGAGCGCCTGCAGAAACACAGGGTTACTACAACAGATCCAGAACCAGGACTGAACCAGGACTGAAACCAGAACCAGGACTGAACCAAGTTTCATATTTGTTATGTTATTTAGATGGAAGGGAATTTATCTCATTATGTTAGATTTTATATAACAGGACAAAAATCGTGGACTAAATGATCAATAATGTCTCCTTATATTTAAGGAATCTGAGTACTTCTACTTTTACTCAAGTACAAGATCTGAGTACTTCTACTTTTACTCAAGTACAAGATCTGAGTACTTCTACTTTTACTCAAGTACAAGATCTGAGTACTTCTACTTTTACTCAAGTACAAGATCTGAGTACTTCTACTTTTACTCAAGTACAAGATCTGAGTACTTCTACTTTTAGTCAAGTACAAGATCTGAGTACTTCTACTTTTACTCAAGTACAAGATCTGAATACTTCTACTTTTTCTCAAGTACAAGATCTGAGTACTTCTACTTTTACTCAAGTACAAGATCTGAATACTTATACTTTTACTCAAGTACAAGATCTGAGTACTTATTCCACCTCTGCTGTTACATTTATAGATTTATCAGATTCATCATATCCATTTAGGAAATGCTGTTATACTTTAAACTACCCAACAGTTAAGCAAAACCTGCAGGAAATAGGAAACAGGAAACAGGAAACAGGAAACGTAAATTATTGAACATTTCTCGTTTTGGACCATGTTTAAAACTCCTTACATAACCCAGACAAAAGGACTTGTATTCATTTATAAAACAAATCCAAAATCAGAGCCAAAATATGAATAATATATATTAATTTCTGTCAGTGGAGGGTAGATATTCTGAACTCTTTCCACTGGAAAATGTATGTAAAGTATTTATAAGGAGGAAAAAACAAACAAAACCAACAGCGTGAAATGAATATCAAGTTGGGCAAACATCCATAGGTTTTTCTACAATCCCTGAAATATCTTTCTAACAAAGTAACACACTCCTGAAACCTCTCGAGCATTAAACCCACAGTTTATCGATCTTTCTTCAGTAACCAAAGGTACTTTGATGTAGCTTCTGGTCGTACCTGAGGTATTCGTAGAGTCCGTACATGGGCAGGAAGTCGACGTCTGTGAGGAAGACGTAGGGCGTGTTGGCGTTCCTCAGAGCGACGTTCCTCACCAGGTTGACGGGGTAGAACTGGCCCTCTTTGTACACGATGTGGTACCCAACGTTCTTCCGGTTCTTCAGGACCTCGGAGGCCTGAGCGTATCGAAGGAACTGCTGCGCCTCGGCGTCCGACATGTAGAGCGCCAGGCTGATGGGCCCCTCCCAGTGCTTACAGATGGCCTCCAGCATCTGCAGCCTGCACACAAACACACGGTTAGCCCGGGAAACAAACCTGAACACAGTCTGGTCCTGGTCTTACCAGGACCAGACTGTGTTCAGGTTCTGGTCTTACCAGGACCAGACTGTGTTCAGGTTCTGGTCTTACCAGGACCAGACTGTGTTCAGGTTCTGGTCTTACCAGGACCAGACTGTGTTCAGGTTCTGGTCATTTACAATTGAATTTGTCTTTGGGTGTCATCTGTTAAACACCTGAACTAGAACATCCATAACATTCACCTGTTGGCAACATGCAAATTACTTATCTAATATATCACATTCCCATTGGTTGTATATAGACTCCGATTGCACAATTTCTATTATATTTTATTTGTTTTTATTTGTATTTACTTGCACTATTTGATCTGTTTTATTGTGTTGCACTGTTGGAGGAGCCTGTGACCTAAGAGTTTCATTTACATAACTACACTGTAGCTATGCACGAATGACAATAAAAGCCTTGAATCTTGAACCTTGATCTTAGGCAACGGTTTCAGGGTTAGAGATGCATAAGAAGCACACTTGTTGAGCTCTTTGCAGGCGTCATAAAGAACCCGGGTTATCCAGGGAAACAAACCTGATCTCAATTACAAATGAACAATAATAAAATATAAAGCAAGTTATTATATATATACACACACAATAACTGTAGTTCTGGTACCTGTCCATGGAGAGCTGAGCCACCAGCGTGATGTCGGTGTCGTCCTCTGCAGGTGAGTACTCGTACTGCAGGAAGTACAGGTGAACTCTGTGCACGGTGAGGCGCTCCCGCCGGAAATCATAGCACTGATCGTCCTCGTCGAGATCCTCCAGAGCCGCCTGCAGCTGAGGAGAAACCACACACCACAGGGTCAGAGGAAGGGTGTAGACAACTTAAAGGTCTCCTATCATACTATTAGTCATATATCATAGGTCTCAGATATATACAAATATATTAAAAACATGTCTATGAACTGTTTTGCTCAAAACACCAAACAGATCACCCATTCTAGCCTCATCCCCCTCTATTTCAGCCTGATACCAAAGAGCTGATTCTGGGTCTAAAGCTGATGAAACTCCATATCATGTTCAAAGCCACTTCAAGCATTATCTCTGAAACAGTATGGAGCTCAAACTCTTTTCCTCTCTCAGGTTTACCACAAGGTGAGTTCCTTTAACATCCTGCTTCTTCACACATGCTCTCTCCAGAACAGGTTAGCGTGTTAGCGATGCTTGCTAATGTAAACACAGACCATATGACTTCCAGAACACGTTGCTCATTGTTTCTGACAGCAACGTTTCTGATAGCGCCGTGGGTCTAAGGCCCGCCCACATTTCAGATATTACGTCATATCGGACGCAAATCTGGATCAGCTCCGTTGTTCCTCCGTTTTTAGAGATGTGGGTACGGAGGAAAAGAGAGAGGGTTTTATTTTCTGACACTGCGTGAGTCTTCTGACACACCGGGGACACAGTCACCGGGGACACAGTGCATTTTGCATGTTAGGAGACCTTTAGGATGCTGTGTGTGTGTGTGTGTGTCAGGATTTTAGATTTTAAGAAAAAGTCCAAATGTGGAGGTTTTCAGAAAAAATCCGCATTTCTGAAAAAGTCAGAATTTGGAGAAAAAAGTCAGAATGTTGATATTTTTCGGAAAGTGAGGACTTTGAGAAAATAAATCCGAAATGTTTTATTTCATTCTGAGGTTTTCTGAAAAAGCCGTAATTTAGAAATGTTCTTGAAAATTCATAATTTTAGGAAAACTCAGCAATTTGGGAGTAATTATGAGATTCGAAGAAAAAAATCAAGATT